ATTCAGTGACTTTAGTGATGTAATTTTCCTGATTCTTGAGGTTATGTCTTAGTGCTGTAAAGGAAGCTTTTCAAAGAAATGGAGTTCAGTAGTCAGCTTGCAGCCTCTGCATTTCACCTGCTGCCTTGGCAGTCTAGCGGGACCAGCTCTAGCGTCAGCCCTGAGTGTACTTTCATGTTCCTTGTGCTGCAGCGCTCGGTCTGGAAGGTATAAATTAGCAATACTCAAGTAAGTATTCCACTAATGTACTTGGGGCCTATTTTAAGCAACGAATTCACTAATGATATATTTTCTGTTTAGCAGAAGCACGTTTTGGCTGTGCTTATGTTTTTGTTTACCCTCAGCAATATTCTTTGTTTATAGTGTGAGCTTCTCCCCCTCAAATTCTTATCTTGTTTTTCCTTACTGTATCCTCCTGTAATATCCCTTCTGGAAGGCCTTTTCATAGAGTGGTTTTTTTTTTTTTTTTAAGGCTCTAAAAACTTCCTTCCTGGCATTTGCGTTCTCCCTTCAGATGTCAAAATCCAAGATAATGGTCCATTGCTGATCCTTTGGGATAGGAGGGGCATGCAGTAGAGTTTGCAGTCTCCACACACTCAACAAGTCAACGTACTTTACATGTGGTGAGAAGGACATAGTGTCTACCAACAGTAGTTCACTGTTAGCCCATACAAGGAGCAGACATTGAAATTCAAGGCAAGCGTTTTGAAAATTGTCAGTATTTTCTGATCCATTTCCCCACATACAAAGCGAACAGATCTCCCAAGGAACTTTGTGAACATGGTACAAATCTAAATACGAATGGCAGTTCGGCCCATACAAGTGGTGCATGAATATAGACTTGTTCTTTGAATGCGTGTCAGAGCTTCACTGAAAAAGGGGTTTCAGCCTGAAGCCTTAGACAGAGGCCCTGTCTGTGCGTGCGTTATGGACCTGGGAAAGGCTGAGATCTTAGTGCAGCTCCCTGGCAAAGAAGCACAAGGAAGGGCTGACAGCATCAAAGGACTGATAGCATTAAAGTACTTTATATCAGCCTTGAACCCAGGGAGATTTGAGTTCATCTCCTGCCATCATATCACACAAAAGTAGTTGATGGTTTTGTCTCAATCTTGCCGGCTGCTACAGTTCTGTATTATTTCATCACCTGTGGTCTAGAGGCTGAAACTAGAACAACAAAATGTTATTGACTATGTCAGCTGAGATTCAAGTAGCAGAACTGTGGTGGGAGCATTTTCTTTTTTAAACCCTTTCACAACACGTCTTTTTTAAGCTTTAATTTTTAGCTAGGAGACTGGCCACATGTATGAAGCACAATTATGGTAGCTGCCGAAAACATTAAAATACATTTTCTGTGCCAAGGGGCATAGGTAGAAGCCCATGGATGACTAAGACTTGTTCTATGTGGGAAAGGTCAGCGTACCAGCTTCTTTTTTTTTTTCCTCCACTTCTTAAAAGCTTTAGGTTTGTAAGTAGATCATTTTAGGCTGCAGGAGCATTTAATCATTTGAGACTTACATTGCATCTCAAAGCTAATGGTATTCCCTTATCACCACCTCCCAATTTGCAATGGTTTTTGCTAAGAAAGGTCTGTGTGCATCTGTAGAACATGTCCCTTCATTTATGCAAAGGAAAATGTGTACGTGTACATGTGTGCTTGTGTCTTCACATATTGTGTTTCTGATCTAATTTATACTTTATGCATTGCACTCTTCCTCAGATAAATGAATTACCAATTAATTTGCATGTAAATGGAGTTCTGCTTAGACTGATGCTTAACTCATTTAGTAGAAGAGAGAGAGGCTAATTACGAGATGTGCACCGTCCCATCTGTTGAGTTTGCTGGGTCAGCTCTTTGCCTCAGTCTTCAAGAATAAAACGTTCCCACTGAGATGGGCTGGACTACTGAGCAACTGGTGTCTTGAAAACATCCAACCTTCTTCAAGGAAAATGACCCCTTCCCACTTGTTCTGTCCCACCAGCTGATGCCTTTTGATTTTTCTGTGAATAAACTATGTGTGTGGCCCAAAGGAAGGCCTGCGTAGCTGAAAGTGCATCCATTTTTCCAGTAATATCAATTAGTCTAATGCAAGAGAAAATCTTTCTGAGCAAAGAGAAGATACCTTAGCTGCCCGAGCTGAGAATGGGGGGCCTGTAGAGTCTTGATTTGAATTTACAACTCTCCCAAGTTCCTGAATTCTACATGGAAAATAAGTATAACGGATAAAATAGAGGTAATTTTTCCTTTAGCTGGATTGCATGCAGGTACAATGCAGTGTTTGGTGAAGCCAGGGAGGGCTGAATGCAACCAGCTTCCACAGAGAGCTGGTTTCCTTGTGCCTTGATGGAAAGGTGGGTGGCAGCGGGTTGATGTGCAATGGCCAGGGCATCTGTCTGCTTCCAGGTGTGTCTCTTTCATGTCTCTTCAGAGAGCTTCTGTGTCTAGCTATGGCCAGAGCCAAGCCCTGTGACTGCAACGTTTTGTAGATTTAGGAGAACACGATTCAGTGATAAGTCGCGTCTGGGTGACATAATGGGTTAGCTGTAGTGATATTTAAAATTGCACTTGCTGAATTATATTAAAAAGCCACCTGCAAAAACAGTAATTAAAAAAAATGATGCTGAATGTCATTATTTAAATAGTAGTGCAGATAAAGTAACCTAGTCAGCCTCTGTCAGCATCCCCCAGGTCAAAACAAAATCTGTGTTGGTTTTGGACTCGGCATATGCCATGGAGTGAAGCTGCATGCTGACTTGGAATATCTGCAGTACTAAAGGATGGAGAGATTGAAGAGGTGTGACAGAGGACAAAAATCTTGACTCCAGCCACTGCCACAACTGTATTTCAAATAACAACACTCAGAAGGGGGTTGAGAAAGTAAATGTGTTTCAAATTCACCATGTCAGGAACAAATTAAATCAGTGTGGTAAAGGATTTGAAGAGAAATGCATTTGGGATAGCTTATATGCCGAGACTGGGAGTTTCGGTAATAAGTAAGAGGAACTGTAGTGTCCTAATAATTAAGATAAATTTAACATAATTGTCTCATCAGGTTTCAGCACTAGGGGAACTTTACTTTGGAGACCTGCTGAAGGCTTCATTTAGCTACCTGGAAAAGCATTGCTAAAAGAGTACTAAGATACCGGATTAAATACAATAACATACTAGAGACAAAACAAAAGGAATCAGATTCAATGTGGAAGAACCTTTTGGACAGCTAGATGGGCAGAACTTTTTGGACTTTGTTTTGGACAGCTAGATGACAGATAGAGATGAACCTCTCCATGGGGTTGAAATTCGGTAGTTGTCTCAGGAGCAAGTGGCCATGATCGGATTATATTCCAATACTGGTGAAGAAAAGATAGTCCCAGTTTTGAACATGCTGTTTTGGAAACCAATTCCCAAAGCCAATTTCCCAAAGCCGAAGATAGTCCTTAATTGACTGAGAAGAAAAATGTATGAATGAAGACTGGGAGTTTTTAGAGAAGTTTGTTAAATGAGCAAAATGTTATTAAGAAAATGTGTGGCAAAGGAATATGGAAATCAGAAATATATTTACACCTGTGTATACAGTTAAATATGTAGAGATTTCTGCATGGATATGCACAGAGGGGTATGTATGGATGCCTATATTTGGACGGGAATTTACATACCTATGAGCATGCTTACATATTTAGATAAAACATGGGGTTATATATCAGAGAAAAAGGGGAGTTAGAGAAGGGGAAATAGACAACAATCAATAACTGTATCTTATAAAGTATAGAAATTACCGGAAAATGTTAAAGGAAAATCTATTATTAGCAAGCAAAAGGAGTTTTGCAGGAGTTTTTACATTACAAAAGCAAGAGAAAAATATGCAATGGTGTAGGCCCAGCGAGGACTGAGAGTGGTGAAACTGTTCCTAGGAGATGAGCAGAAGGGTAAAATGTTCAGCAAGCATTTCCCTCCTGCTTGGGAAGGAGCAAGATGATTTACATGTATCATATGAGGATGATGAATTATTTTCCAGTCCCTCAGTAATTAAGATAATTTTAAACAACACCTGCTTTCGGAAAACAGCTTTGAACTGGTAGGCCCTGGTTTAAACCTGCAGCTTTGCATCCTTTAAAACAAAAACAACTGGCTGAGGACTTTCCTGACCCTCTGATATTCATTTTTAATAAATTTGGGGAAACTGGAGAAATCTGCTAAGACTGAAGGAATGCTTGTGCTTTGCCAATGCTCTAACAGAACAAACAGGATAATTCTGATAACAGGAGGCCAGTTACCCTGACCTCGGTTCCAGTAAAATAACAGAAAAGCTGATATGGGAATTCAAGTAGTAGAGAACAGGAATATTGTTAATGGCAGCCAGTGATGTTTACATGCAGTATGGGTCTTGTCAGGTAACGCTGGCTTCATCCTTTTTAACTAAGGTTACCTGCTTAATTAATAAGGGAAACTGTATAGGCATAATAGACTTTGAAAGACAGTAAGCTCAGTATCCTAAAATATGCCATTCAGAAATGAAGTGCTCCACTTTCTTGCATAAGCCAGTGTCATTGAAACCGGTTTATCCAAAGCGGTTGATATGCTAATATGCTAAAAAGCATATTTCTGTTATGTTCTGCAAGGATCAGGGCTAGGCCTGCTTCTGTTAACATTCCCTTCCTGGTCTTGCTTGAAAAATCTTGGATCAGGCACTGATGGGGAAAGCCCGGCACAGCGCCATAAGAATAGTGCTTGGAATTGCCTTGAAGGTGTAGCTGGATCTGACTTGAAGGGTGTTTTAAAGAGCTAAATGCAAAATTATAAAGCTGGAGAGAAGAAACACACACTCTCTCTACAGAATAGATAAGAAATAGAAAAGGCAGCCTTGGGAAAACAGACTCTGGTGAGATTTTTGGAGATCTTAATATTACAAACTCAGAATGCAACCCTAGTCCAAAGCCAGAGCAAAATATCTGGTGCGATCCTAGAATACATATGTAGGGCAGACTTAAGAGCTCTCCCTGGCATGGACCCTGCAGCACTGGGCACCACAGTGCAGAAACAGAGACAGCTTGGACTCCTGGTGTTGGTCTGCAGCTGTAAAGGTTAGTTCAAGGACAGAGTGTGCATGCCACATGTGTGCTTCTAGTACAGTCTTGAACAATTTGCTTTACGGCGTATAAAAAGCATGGCAGAACTAGCTAGATGCTTCTTGTGCCAGAGGATTCCTTTGTAATTAGGAGCAAGGCGGTGACTTCCATGCCTTAGTTTGCCCACTTCCAGAAAGAGACCCTGGCCCTTTCCTCATTCCTTTGCTTCTGGGTAGGGTAAAATTCAACACCTGCTGGAGGTGAGTGATGGGGAGACCTCTGCGAGACAGCGGGCAAGAAGAAAGGAGCCTTCTGGATAGGTGTGGGCAATTGGTGCGTTGGGGCAGCACTGCCACATGAAGTGCATCAGAGCTCTTCTGTCTCATCAACAACATTCATGTGACCATGGTTCAGGATCCAGCCTGCTATGAACTTCAATGAGATAAATGTAATTGTCATAGGATGGGTTATGCAATGAGCTTGCTTTTCAATTTAACTAATGAATGTGCTGAGAGGCCACGCTAAGCTTACTGCTTCGATGTTTTCTCCCCAGGGAGAACATATAGAGCATTGCTGTCTGTAATGGTATCCTCTCGCAACAGCCGGAGTGATTTTGTCACTAGAATGATTTTCTTTTACAGCTCATGTTTTCAGAGGTTTTTGTAGGAGATGGAAGGGCCCAGAGCTTCACTGGAGATTGTACAGCTGGGTTTGCAGGTGTTTCAGTGTGACAGTCCCTGCTGATGAATGCTATGAGGGCTTTTTTGTAGGATAATTTTATTTGCTGCTGAAAATTTATTTGCCCATGTTGCTGGTCTTTGCACAGTAGGACCGTGCTTGATCCTGTGTTCTCTCAGCCTTGGAAAGCTGCTCAGTTAAGAAAGCTGTAGCACTGCCTCTGATTCTGTGATTGTTTCATTAATTGACACCAACAGATATTTTTAATGCTGTGATTTTAGATTTTTTGCTGTGTTCATGTTCTTCTCAGGAGCCTGTTAGAAGATTTAAAGATGTGAGATGCAAAGACTGCAGTAAATTTTTATGACCAATGAAGCATTGCTTCCCAGAGTTATGTACACTGTGCAAGATCCTTGCCCTCTGTAAACTGCACCAAGAAGTTCAGCTTTGTAAGTCAACATCGTATTTGAGCTGTCCCACTGCAGAGGATTAGTAGTTTAACGTTGGTGATTAATGACTGAAGAGAGTCCATAGTCTTGTTTCCAAGCGGACTGTAAATGGCGTTCAGTAATCCCAAGGGAGTCCAGAGTACAAGTGCCTGGCAGTCTTCCTTGATATGTTTTGTGATCCAGTTTAAAATGCTGACCTTCCATAAAGAGGAAAGCAGGAGGGGAAATGGAAATGATGGCAGTGGCCTTCACTCTGAAGTTGTTTCTAAATGTTTTGATTTTTTTTTCCCCTCCACCTTGGAGTTTGTTTCTACTCTCCGTGTGCCTTTGCAAGCCAAGAAGTGTGTGTGGCCCGATGGCACCAAGCTGCAGTCGGATGCAGCTATCTGCCCTCACCTTCTGCTGCTTGGGGATGTCAGGGCAGGTGGCAGTGGCCTGTCCCTCCAGCCGTGCCACCTCGTCACTTGGGCCTGCTTGGAGTCGCGTGGCAAGTGGAGGTGCAGAGCTCCCACCTCTCCCCTACTGGCTTCGCTGTTGTTCGTGGAAGGCCGGGCCTGGCCATGGCCCTCCTGGCCACTGCTACCACCTCTTCCTAGGGTGCTGCTCTAGGCAGCCGGCGAATGTGCATCCATCCCTGCTGAGGTAACGCGTGTTTTTCAAGCCTTTTTTTCTCAACATGGAGGGTAGGTGCTTGATTGTGTCACAAATTCTGTAACAACTGTGGGGCCCTGAAAGCAGAAGTCCCTAAGAGTGGTATGGTGGGCCCCATGCTGACATCCACCCGTGGCGGCAAGGAGGGCATGATCTGCTGTTGTGGGGATGTACTCAGCCACATTAAAGACTTCCCTGTGTGCACTCAAGCAGTAGTACAGCTCGACTCAGGAATATAACACATGCTGGAGACTGATCTTATATTGCTGGTCAGTGCTGGTTTCGTAGGACTTCAGAGGTTTTCGTGGAGGTGACAAAGCCAGTCTGCTTGGAGGCAGTCAGGATCTTGCCAGTCCAACACAGATGGCATCCATCACAGTGTCATCATCTAACATTTACTCACGACAATTTTCAGTCATTCGACCTGACTAATCTTCTAACTTTGTTTGCAGAGTGTGTTCTGCCAGTGGATATAATATATGCTGAAATCACTTAACGTGAGTAAGTAAATGAGTAAGTCAAATGTAATAGAGTTTATAACGTTGGCCTCCTATGAATAATTTCAGTGGTAGCAAGGTATGGGATATTTTCAAAAGGAAAGGCCTCTTGTTATGCCTACAAGTGGTCTTTATTTCCCCTCTATGCAGAGGTTGAGGCAAATTGTACAAATCTGTGTTAAAGGTAAGCAAGGTAAAGCCTTTAAGGGTTCCCCCCTGCTCCCCCCTGCAATATATGAAGTTTTACTAGGGAATTAGAAAATTATGAAGCTGGCAGCACTGCACCAGTCAAAGCTGTGAGACACTGCTGTTTTTTCAGTGAATTAATCATAGTAGGAAATTATACTTTCCTATGTTGCCAATGAAGAAGATGTAACTGAGCGTTTAGGCAGTTGCAGGCAAGAGAGGGAATCTGTAAATTATGCAGTAAACAGCCTTCACTTCAGAGGGATCCTTCTCTGCTCTTTCCAGGGAATGAAAGGAAGGTTTAACACGGGATCTTCCAGCAGGAGGTGGAAGGTGCAGATCAGTGGCTCCTTTGGTCTTGATTCAATAAATAACTTGCCTTTCAGGGAAATAATTTGCCTAATCTGTGAAGGAAACAGTTAATGCCATGTTCTAGAGTGATGGGTTTGGAAAGAAAAGGATGCCCCAAAGGGCTATTTGGGCGTGGAGGAGAATGGAGAGCCCTTCTTTCTGAGCAGAGGCTTAGGGTTGGACTGAGAAGGAAAATGGGAAAGCATGTCCTGAGTTGGGAAAGGCTATTTAAGCAATAACACTGGCGAGAGAACAAATAAGTTTGAACTGGCCCTTAGTCTGGAAACTTAGAAAAAGCCTCCCAGCAGTGGGAAGGGGTGAAATATTGGCTAGTTTCTAAAATGGAAACTCAGTCTGAAGCTGAGTGTGTCTGATGTGGTCACCTGTGACAGCAGGGCTCTGGGCTTTCTGATCTGGGGCCTAGATCAGCCTAAGGGAGACCTCCCACACGAGGAAAGCTTTAAACACATGCTTTGCTCTGTGGGGCTGTATTTACTTAATGTTTAACCTTCTGTAGCTTAAGGATGATGTTTTCAAAGCACATTTTTCGTGCACAGTTCAGTGTTGACGGGTGCCAAAGCATATGTGGCCTTGCAACTGCTCCAGGCACCCGGTCGCGTGCAGGCCGGGTCTGTCCACGTCCACCCATTACGGTGGAAGAGCAGCAGCTCCTCTTCCCTGCACCATCCCCTGGGATGGAGCCTGGCCCTGCTGGTCTCCATCTGGTTGTGGGCAGGGCCCCATCCCGCATCTCCTTGAGCAGCTCGAGGCAGAGGGGCAGCACGGCCGGGGCATGAAAGCAAAATTGACTGCAAAGGAGGATTAGTCAGGCCTGAAGTACGGCTGCCATGCTTGTCGGTAGGGCTTGACGGGTCCCTTGGTGATTTCTTACAATAAATATTTGACAAGGGGTACTTCATCATCTCGAGTATGCATAATCCCAAGTAAAAGGAAATATGCTTTTAAAATGTTTGAAAGGAAACAAACTTACATGGATGGAATTGGAGACCAAGACCCAGTAGCCATAGATGTTTATATTAAGGGCTGGTGTGTGTCTGTTTTTTAGCATATACTGGAGTTGATTGCTTTTGGGAAAAGCATTTTCTAATGTGTCTATCTCCAAAATGAACCTTCCTTCCTGAATAATGCTTCCTTTTGTGACGAAAAAAAAAAGTGATTATGACTGAAGTTTTTGCACAGGGATTCATGCAGTTGGTCTGGCAGAGATTTTTTTTTTTTCCCCCACTGAAAATTCTTTTTGAGCAAAAGAGTTTTTAAATTGCTGTCATTATTAATGTTCATCCTCAATTGCTGCATTACAATTGCAAATTTGTACATCATCATCTTTTTTTTTTTTTTTTCATTTGGGAAATTTCTCCTTTGAAAATTGCTGGTCAGGATGAGGGGGTTTGAAGTAGTCCTTATTTTACAATTTTCAGAAAATCTCTTGGTTTTTCTGAATTGTATTTTTAGCAGCTGATGCCTAAAATCACAAGTTTACAGATTTCTCTTACATGTTTCAAATCCTCACCATCTAACCAAATTCCATTAAATGACTCATGTTATTGTTCAGTAGTACCTGCCTGAGCATAGCGTTGGTTTTTGTTTTGTTTCTACTTTTAATCCAAATATAATAGAAGAGAGCAAGACAGCAGAACCCACCAATTATATCCGTTTAGTCTCTGGGAATCATAGCCTAAGTCTTCCCAGAGTCCTCTGCAAGGAAGAGTTCTCCTAAGCAATGTGAGACTTCACTTAAAAAAAAAGCCAGGAGATGAAAACCTAAAACTCCTGAATTTTCAGGCTTGCCATAATTCAAGGGGGAGAATAAAAAGCATAGTCATCTCAAAGCACTGTCCCTCTGGTCACCCCAGGTCAGTGGCAGTGCCCATGGACCCTGGTGCGTCTGCTCTGGACTAACATCTAAGCTGTCCCTTGGAGTGTGCAGGGACAAGGGCAAGGCCCCATTTCCAAAGATGGCCCTGTTTCCAAAGTTAAGATGGACTAAGTGTGAGGACTAAAGGTGAACTTGCAGGTCACATCTCCCTTTTCCAAGGGGATGCCAACAAGAATATTTTACCTTGATACAATTTTTAAGACTCTATTAAATCTGTACCAGATTGTAAAGCTCAAAGAAAT